AAAAGTATTCCCATTCAAAAGTACTGTTACATATTTTCAGGCGTATAAGAAACATTTTCAGCTAAATGAAGATATTGACTTTCAGTAATATTTGTTTTTGCAATCCGCCGTTTTACTTATCCCAGTAACAACCAGTTATATTACTCTTCTTGAAAAGTCCTTAATACAATTAAAAACTTAATTGCGAAAAATGCACAGGAAATAGAACGTTTGGAAGCACTGTTGCAGCAATTAAAATGATTTTATGCTATCTTAATCAAACTCTTTGAATCCTTGATGAACAAACGGCGTTGGAAATTACTCTTCACTTTTGTGGCCACAAGTTCTCCAAAAATCTAAGGAAACATCTCTGTCTAAGGAATGATGCTTACAACTGTTGACTTGGAATGAAGCTTGCATCTCTTGCCTTCTTCTTGTTGAGTTATGCCAAGGTTATATGGTATCTAGTGTGCATGAAAAAGACTGGAAACTCAAAACACGTAAATTCAGTCAACTGGAACTACTAAGCAGTCAGTTCTGGAGCAAACTTGGACTGAAATGAATATATGTTAAATGTGCCTACAGGAACAGTAGCTTCGCATATCTTTAATTTAGTGAACATGTAAAAAAAAGTTACAACTGTAACATTAATAAAACAATTGGTTTTTTTCATCATTTTTGTATTTTTGTAATTGATTTATACAGAGTGAATGATATTTTGACCAGTCTGTATTTGAGATTTTTGATTCTCAGAGAGTTAAAAACTTTATGTTGCTGTGACGATGATAATGAAATGATAAAATTGTCATGTAATTATCTTCGTTGCAAAGTTCTATTAAATGATCTAACCACCATTCTCGTAAATATGTCTTGACGTTTCTTCAAGATCACATCAACAGAGTACTTCATTTATATTCATTCCGCATCATTAAAGGTTGAGAAAATTTAATCAACTATGTAAATCTGTTTATGAAATAGCTACAAAATTATATTCAATCGCCAAGGAAGAAGATGCAGTGTAATATCCCTACCCTTAGGAAGATAATTTCTTTGAATTATTCCTTAATAACAATTTCACGCTATTTATAAAATAGCTACAAAATTATATTCAATCGCCAAGGAAGAAGATGCAGTGTAATATCCCTACCCTTAGGAAGATAATTTCTTTGAATTATTCCTTAATAACAATTTCACGCTTTTAAGTAATCGCAATAGACGAAATACTTTTAATTTGTCTGCAGTTACGAACAATTATTACATTTTTGTTATTCAAAACATTTAGAATTTTGTTTTAATACTAATAAAAATTTTATTTTTCCTGAAGAAAAAGAAAAATAAGCGGTATAAGCTACAATGTAAAATTTTGTTTTTCAATATATATACTTTTAATATCCGTATTAGGCAATGCACAGCAAGGAAAGAATCATTTAAAACATTCCTGAGATACAAAGGATAATAAATTACAAAACCATTTAACATATTTCATGAGTTATTTCTTTAGGATAAGCTATCTATATATATGAGTATGATGTAAATTATAGGCAAGATAAAATAACTAACTTTAAAATTCAATGGTTCCTTAACTCTCCATCTTAACCGGTTAATTTTCCTTTTTTTGTCTTCAAAATGGTAACATGCTTATCATAAATCTCTCTAAACGTCATCGTTTCAAAATTAATCCTTTTCACATGATTTATGCGTAACACTAATAATGACGCATGTTATTACCAATGTTCCAATGTTCAGCCAGTAATTTGGCTAAAATTTTAAAGCTATAAACTAAATTAGTCAATGAAGTAAAATCAAACCAAAACTAAATAATTCTTAACGGCCTTCACATTGTGATCCACGCGTTTCTTCTTAGCTTCTACGTGAGCTTCTTCTTTTGTTGTGAACTTGCGGTTACTTACAATTTCCTCTACCAGCGCTTTCTAAAAGTGGAGAAAGTATCTATATAACTAAGAAGAGCGTTAGCTATGATACAGCCAATTCAGCTATGTAGGTTTGTGTCAAGCATTGTTTTGTCAAGAAATGTAAAGTGTAAACTGGGTCACGCCCCCATCTACTACGTCACGAATAGACTTTTATTGCCAGCATCTACGTAGGCATAAAACATAATTTATTACATATGTGTGTGTGTATGTATATATACCGATAGAACAAAATAAATATAATTAATATAAAACTAAAACGGAAGACACAAATTATGTAACAGGAATTCACAAATCAAAATAATGAAATACAAATATGGAAACTAAAACGGAAACAAAATCACTACAAAAATAACACATTCACATAAATGAATAATTTCATACACCATGTGTAACATGTATACGAACCAGTTTCCCTTAGAAAGTTCTCCACGAAGGCATCCCTCCCTTAAGGCAGATAGCCCTCGAGTGCTTTGCCGTAATCTAATAAAACCAAACCAAAATAAAACCAAACTGCTCTTATGTGACTCGAAATTCGTTAAACAATGCACACAGTAGACTAAGAGTCATACTATTTTTAATACTAGGAAAAGTTAGTCATTTAAAGCTTGGAATTAAAAATTAATGATAATTTTGGAAACGGCAACAGCGTATTGACATAGAAATCCCATCATTCATCAAAAATCACAGAGCGGGCAAAATTTTACTCAAATTTTAAAAATTCGAAAGTGGTAAAATGAAAAATAAAATTTTATTAGATTGAAGAAAAAAAATAGCCAACTAGAACTTTTAATATAGGTGAATTAAACATAGCGTCAAGCACCTGAAAAAGAAAACATTCTTGAAAATCAAATGTAAATGTCTATAGAGCTAATTGGTCTTGACATAAAATAAACTAAACTAAATAAAATAAAAGTAAATTAAACTAAATGTAGTATATTACAGAGTAAAAAATTCTTTAATAAGAGGAAAATTTACTAATAACCGCCCAACCAGGACAGTGTTTAGCGACGGTGACTGCCGTACCGAAGGGGCCGGTCTCGAATCCCGGAGAAGGCATGGATGTTTGTAAATGTATAGTGTCTGTGAGGCATGGGGACACTTTAAATATGCGGCGAGCCGAAAGTCTCCTCGAGAGGTCGATGGTAAGGGCAGAGGGTTGGGAGATCCGTCCCCCCCCGGGGTGCTCTCCGTCAAAATTGGGAGAGGAACTGAGCAAAGTCGTACTGCTATGTGTACGGTGGTCAGGGCTCTTTCCAAAAGACAGGCGCAATTGCAATTTTGCACACTTTGCCACGATGAATTTCGTGGGATTGCTCAAATGTTACTGGCAGACAAGTGAGGTCAGTCACAACAACAACAAAAAATTTATTAATTAAAAAAAAAACTAGTAATTTGGAAAACCGAAATGACATAATGTACAAGCCACGAAGAAAAAGGCAGTGTATATGTGTGTACCGAGAGAAAAATAGATTATCGCTTCAAAAATGTTGCCATTCTAACCATAAATTCACATGCAGTACAACTGTAAAATACGCTGCGGTTGCCCATATTGGCGGCCTAACCCTAATGTTATTTAATTTCATTTCTTATTTAGGACTTGTCTTGCTCAATTTATGAAACAAAATAAATTTTCGAGAGTTTATTAGTTTCACTGAACCCTTTTAGAGTTCCTTTTTTGAACAGTACTACAGTTGAATTATAAAAGAGGAGGAAATATTTGAATTTGCCATCAAAATACGAAGCTGTTTAGGAAAAAGAAAAAAAAGGGAAAAACAAACAAACAAACAAACAAACAAAACATGGCTTTTTTTCAAAGCCTAAATCTTACTGCTTTATAGGTTACTAATAAAAATTTGTAAGGGATTTAAATTCTTAATCCCAGTGTTTACAAACTAAGTAACGTTACCAAATAAAAAATGCTTATTAAGTAAAAGTGTTTAGAAAGGAGTCTCTATAACTAAAGGACTATCATAAGTAAACTAATCCACTAGCAAATATATTTTAATAAATTTAAGAGCAGTAAAACTAATCTCAGTGGCATTCTACAGTTTATTTTGTAATAATTACGCATTTCTTCAGAAATCTAGCAGAAAATCAATTACAGAATTTGTCCAAAATTACTGTTACAGTTTGATTAAGCGTCAGTTGCCAATGAATTCTTTTAAGCAAAAGTTGACTGTGATGAATAAATTGCGAGATTAATAAAGAAAGGAATGATACACTTCGCAATGATGAGTTCGAAGCTAAGGGACATAAAACTGTAAAAGTGATATAATGCTGCCAGCAGTAATTTGTTTATATCAGCACCGTTACATGTAAACTGATGTAATATAGCTCTGTATATATTAAGTGAAATTTTAACCTTTTCCAAATGCATCATTCAAATTAAGTTCATAATACCATTGTGCGCTAATTTTATAATATCTATAAATATTTATTGGTCAACATGTATTTGAAACACCAATGATAAATTAATTCGTCAAATCAAATATTATAGATTACCGATGGTTGTTATATAATTACCTGTAACATAATCATGCTTAATTAGGTCTTAATTTACTCAGAAATTAAATAAATTACTAATTTTGCAGTCGTGAAATCTAAATGTAAACAGAGACAGTTTTATTTTAAGTCTGAAGTGTAGCTATCATTTGCAAAATAAAACGAAACAATTATTCTCTTAATATGCTCCATACCAAACCCAAAGTAAATATTTAATCTAACAAATGAATTTTAAAGCAAATTTTCCTTCCTTCTGATGATCTAAAAAATTCGTAGATTTCATAAGATACAGGAGGCCTACTTTTCAAATCAGGAGCTGAAATGAATTTCTCGCAGTATGCGGTTGATCCGACGGTATCTTTGGCGCGGACATCGTTTTCATCTCTGCATACTTCAAATGCCTTATTAACTCTAAAACAAGCGCGCCGCGCCGGAAATGTATTTCTTCGGTTACTCAAATCGGGCTTCGTCTTGCCCAGGGCATGCGCTGTAGCTTTCTGCGTAGAAATTTTCAAAGCAAAGTAACGACAGCGCGATCCTGATGATGGACATTTAGAAGCGCGCAAGGAGGCGCTATATCCGGTTTCTTCCTTTATATACAGACACAGCTGTAGTTTTGCAGCGATAACCACTTACACTTAACTGTAAGCATGTACTCCCAAACCTGACAACAGATCTCTTGTATATCAGCTGGCTAATTAAAGTTGTGAATGTAAAGAGGAGAAATTTTATTTCCATAATTTAATAAAAATATTTGTAGGATAGTTGATGTTAATATAATATACCTAAAGCCAAAATGACAAAATTTCTAAGAAATCACAAAGCTGAAGTTTTCATGATCATTCAAATCTTCTTCACGCTGGCTACAGTCACCACGTGTTCACCAGGGTAAGTCGATTTACGATGTTACTTTTGCTCTAATAATCATAAATATGCACATTTTAATCTAGAAAACATTCTCGGAAAGATAAAATTTTAAACAGCAGTCTGAATACAAGGTGAATTCTCAAGGGGAAATGATCGTTTTGCAAACGATTTCAAAAATGGATGAAAATTTTACATTTCCACCAAGTTTTCTAAGAATTTTGCTTGCTGTAATTAGTTTCCTGAATATTTTATATGAATATATTATTAAGATGCTTGATTTCCGTTTTACTCTCATATGAAAAAGAGGGCTATTAAAATTTTACAGCATTGCATTTTAGATGAATAGCTTTTCAAATGCTCAATTAATAGTGTATGGAGTGACATCTCTTATCGTTTGTTTAATGCAGTAAACTAAAATATAAAGCGGTTTACTGATTATTATTTTCCATTAGTTTAAGTCACTTTTGACATTCCTTTTTCACTGATTCCAGATATCTCTCAAATAATTGCCAATATTTAGCTACAGTTTAAAAAAAAAACTGAGTATGATTATAATATATTTGTACTTTTTCTTTTCTCTTTTTTCAGGATACATATTTTTTGGCTTTCCGGTTTAAGTTTTTTCTCAGCTTTCGAATGCACTGTACTTCTTTTGTGCATTTGATTGTTAGGAAATAAATACAGTTAAATGTATTCAATTCATTGCAATCAAATATAGAATATAAAATTCTGTAACCGATATGGTTACCTACATACTTTAAGGAAATATTTTGTTCACTATCATAAAACAATATGCATTGTTTACATTCTGCTTGGTATCGCACAATTATGGTATAATTTAGTCCGGCTGAAAAACTTATACGCTCAATTAAAATGTTTACTGTGCTAAATTGCGAATATTAGCGAAGCAAAAAATGACTTAATAATCAAATTTATATTTAAAATGCGTACAGTAAAAGAGTAACATTACTTAGTCTTTAGCATTAATGTTGTAAATCTTGATATCTTATAAGATTTAATATAATGAAGGGATGAAAATCGGTTTTTCACATTTATGCATTAGGAAAATAATTGAGGAAATGCTATTATTTCATCTTTTAAAAGTAATATCTAACAGAGATAATATATTTTATACCAGATGTGAATGAAATAACAAGTTATTAATAAATTCATATCTAATACATAGCATATATTTTTGAATTCAGAATTCGAACTTCCTTTAAAATGAAAATTTTATTTTCATCATTACACCTTAATCACTAGTATCAAATTTCTTTCAGTAAAAAGAAATCATTTTCGTTGTGAAATATCAAATGATTGGCTCCAAAATATTTCACCTCTGTAACGCTTATTTTGGCAACAATTATTCGAATCCCAAAAAAGGATCACTTCAAATTTTTAATTTTCTAGTTCATGCTTCAATTTTCATTGCATATACTTTTATAAATAATACTTTTATAATAACGGCTGCTGCCTTTTACCCAAATAAGGGAGCATTTCTTTTCCTCTCAGAGTTTCTCTATACTTTACTAATCATGAGATGAATAACTAGGAATCATACTCTGTCCAGTGAACTGAAATTCGGCATTGTCTCTAATGACAGTAGGCTACCTTGTATCATCATGATATGAGTTATTCATGCACTGCGCATTAATAATTTCTAAATGAAGAGCATGTTAAATTAATTACATCAGCATAAAGCTATAAGTGTGTATTTGCTGTAACAGTAATTTACTTCCCAAACCTTTTAATCTCATTCTATCTCAGGCTTAATTACAAAGTTATAATCCTTTTCATTTTTAGCTTTTGATTTTCTAAAATCTTTTCCAGTGATTTAGGCTAATTTCAGTTTCGTTTTAGTTGTCTATCTCATAAAGGATGTTCTTTTCATAATATATCATTTTATATGTTACCTCTTTCGTATCAGAATTAAAAAGCACACGAAGAGAAATATGACGGTCTCTAAATGCTAATTATTACGAATATCTAATGGATATTTTATGCTTGAAACAACGGCAAAGAGTAAAAGTAAATAATTTGATGTTGTTAATTTACTTTTAAGAACAAATATCGTGAAGTCTTCAGTTGCTTCGTCCAGAATTTAATCCAAGCTCTTATTGTTACTAGCTGAAATTTTTGAATACTACACTAGACAAACACACGGAAGAAATGCCTTTAATACCTTATTTGAAAATAATGCTGCTCTTTATAAAGGTAGAACAGCAGAGACAAAGCAGAGTTAATTTTAAAATTCTGTCCAAGAAGGTCATAAACATAAAATATTAAAAATTCAGGTTTTTCAGTCTTAAGTTCACTCTCAGAAATTGTAATTGCCTCTTCACATTGAACTAAATGGGAAGGTTACGGTTCGTATTTTCGTTTTATAAAAGCAAAGCTAGCCAAACTTAGTGAAGCCAAAATTAAGCAGAGCATCTTTTGCTGGCCTTCAGAATAGAGAAATATATAGCTATCTTGTATTTGAAAGTCTTTTGAATAAAGCTGATGATGATCTAGGGAAGTATTTTAACACGTGGTGATTTCTTAGATAATTAGAAGGCAGAAAATTACAGGGAACTAATAATGAGTTTCTGAAAATCTATAAATCTTCGAGTATAAAGTGACACCTAAGCTTCATTTTCTGGACTTGATTTTTCTCGCAGAACTTAAGCGTGTGTGTGATGAGAATGGAGTACATTTCTATCAGCATGCAAGTACAATGGAAAACATTCAATAAAAGGAAATGATTCCATAAAAGGCTTTTAGACTTGTGTTTAATTTTAGAGTATAATACTAGAAAAAGTATTATCTAGAGGGAATAACCTAAAGAAAATTTATGCGAAAGCAATTATCATTGATCGCAATGGTTTACTTACGTGAACAATTACAGTTAATGATGATCACGGTACTTTTCGTAAAAAATTAAAAGTAAGTTTCACATAAGCCATGCCAAATAGGAAAAATTAGTGACTGAGTTGAGAATAAACATTGCGTTGAAAAGGAAAGGAATATAAATAAATAAGGGAAAGCACTAAAACCTAGATATCATTAACGTGAAGTAATTTAAAATCCTTAAAAGTCAATGGAAATCGTATAAGCATTCTAGTGCCTATAACGCTTTCTTAAATGGCTGTTAAATAATCATGCGTAAATTTTCTACATATTCTTTTAAAATTTATTAACAATAAAGCCAAGTTCGTTTAACTTTTGTGTTTTAGTGAAACTCAAATGATACATTTTTTTGCTTGGCTCTGTTATGCATTTGCAAATTGTCTGGTCTCAGCTTAATATTTACAAGTGTATAATCACAAGAAGGAAAGAGAAAAACGAGATAATTATGAGATCGATACCTAAACGTTCATTACTACTGAAAGTAGAAAGAACTATTAATGAGCATTGGTTAAAAATATAGAGACTTTTAAATTTACTGGCGTTCTCAGAATAAAGAAAAATTTGTTTTGGGCTTGTAATAATATTTTTTAATATAGCATTACGAATCGGAATAGTTTTGAAATACAGAACATGCATTATAGTTAAATAAAAACGCTACATTCTAGCCTTGGGAACAGAACACGAGTGCAGAAATGATGACTGTTATTTTTGAGTTTATTAACATATATATTTTTATCTTAAAATTTTCACAAAATTCTATATTTGGATTACAGTGATGGTTAGAAAGGGTGTAAGAAATTATTTTATTATCTTGCGTACACTCGCCTTCGGTACAGAGTTAGCACGTCCAGCTGGCAAACTCCCGATGAAGACACTTGTTTTTCCACGTCTCTCACACCGAAAGGCCTAGCAGATTTTATAATGTCTCCAGAATTGAAATTATAATTCGGCATTTGGATGATTACGTGGTGGACGATAATTCGGCATTTGGTAGACTGTGACTCATACCACTCCCTAGTCACCCCTTAAATCAGGGATAATGTAACGAATGATCGCATTCCCCAGTATATGCTCTAGTGATGTATGTGGTTAGCTAATCACGTCTCGTAAGGATCCATGCCTTGGATCACAGCTGATTTTTCGTGTCTCCTGCTTCGACCGAGCTAACGTACTGAACTGAGATCCTTAATTATTTTAACACATTTAAGGAAACTATTGCATAATTTAAAGAAGCAAAATTCTCAAGCATTTAATATTCCATGGTAATAATTAACGTTTAATTGCTATTATGTATTTGTATGATCTTATTACTAACACCACTGACACGCAGCTCTCCTGCTCGAGGCTTTCTGCTGCAGTAAATATCTGCGCTCTACCGTATACTGCCTAGAGCTGGGAGGCAGATCAGTGATGTTCATTAATCATCTGCTAGGTTGCAGGTAAACTACCAGCATTGTACTACAGATCAACATACTGTTTACATTGATAGGAGACATGTATTAGAATATCTCTAACGACATTTACTTAATCAATGGACACAAAAAGAAAAATTAATTATGCAAGGTCATCGATTGCAGTAATGAAATAACAGCGTAGTAATTCAATTAATGGGCCGTTAATGGGAAAATTGTTGAATACTTTACAGAAATTACAATACTAATGCATTTTAGAAAATACATCATGGCTTGTATATCGATGGTTACTTAAATATAAATAAATAAAGAGCACTTAGGACAGTTACTAGATTGAGAGTAGGATTAGTTAGTGATCGATATGGATTTTGAAAGATGAGATATGTGCATATTCACCCGAAAGAAATAAAATAGGATACAATCCATTTTTACGTCACATAGGATATTGCAATGTCATTTACACAAAGATGTGCAGGTGTACCGTACAATATTTTATATTAATTATTTAGTTACTGTATTTAAAATAAAACTTTGTATATAAGGCATCTGGCAGCGGTTTTAAAAATAGTCGTATAAATGGTTGTTTTATGGCAGGTTTCAGAATATTTACCTTTTCCACTTTAAATTTCATGTACTCTTATTTTTCAGAATTCTCCTTCAGACGTAGAACATTTTGAAACTTTAACGACAGATTCATATCTTTTCATTCACGTTATGAAG